TAAAGGCAGCGCGCAGAGCAGGTGCGGGCTGCGCGACCGGAGGAGGCGACGCGTGGGGCAGCAGCGGGCTGCACAGGCGGTTGACGCGGCGCGCGGGCCTGCTGCAGGCTGCGCGGGCGGCTGACACGGCGCGCGGGGCCGAAAGCGGGCTACGCGGGCAGCGGACGCGGCGTGCAGGGCCTAAGCGGGCTGCGCGTGGGCGGCTTACGCGGGACGCGGGCCGGCGGTAGGCTGTGCGGGCGGCTGACGTGGCGCGCGGGGCCGAAAACGGGCTGCGCGCGGGCTGCTAAAGTGGCGCGCGCGGGAAAAAAAAAAAGGGCCGCGCGCAAGCAGCAGGCAAGGCAGGCAGGCAGGCAAGGCCGTAGGTGAGGTAATGTGGTAACCGGTGGGCCCTAAACTTAGGTCCTAAGACCTATGCTCTAGATACCATCTTAGAAGCTAGGCATGAATGGAGTTCAGTATCGAGAGAATTGGTACAAGGAGGAAACCCTAAGGGGTTATACCCCACAGTATCTACCCAATTACAGCCTACCCACAAATATAACATATGGATATGTTTGACAGCCATAGAGTATCCCACTGCAGGCTAGACAAACATCACATTCTGACATGAAACCCTAGGAAGCTACACTTCCTACCCTAACCATACACTTGTTGGTCCCAACGGTTTGGTCTTCGCAAAACGTTCTGACGGTTCGACCGTTTTTGGCAATACGGTTTTTTACGCAAATGGCACCATCACGGATCTTATCGCGAAGTCGGTTCCACCTATTACAAACGCGGATGGTTCGGTGACTGTGTGGAGGAATGGCACCTACGCTGGCATGGGCATGGTCTATCGCACTTGGGACTATTATCCTGCAAAGAAAGATGCGTCCACCCCTCCATTCAAGATTGGTACAGTAAACTGCAGTGATTCTTATCACACCACTGTTCTTTTTTCCCTTCATGTTTTTCTGTTTTCGAAGTATTTTTTCATCCTTCACTTCCTCCTGTGCTGTGAGTGCTATTGGGGGTACTAGTGATAACTGTTTCTTGCCATGATTCTCTCTTTGGCAGGCTACCTTGCCACTGCCATCACCATGGCTTTTTGTTTTGCTTGGCTGCTTGCATGATTGACGGCGCACGTGCATTTGCAGGAAAGGCTACCACAGTCATACGGTATGTTTAAGTAACAAGCTTGTGGGGACAGACGAGTCGATGTGTGGGTGTTTCTTATTGTACGGTAGTTCTACCGTGTTTCTGACATGTTCGGCAAGGAAGCACAGAAAAGGGGCACCGTTACCTAATTGAGGTGCCTGCTTTTGTTTGCACATGGCTGTTGTTGACACTTACGGTACCGTATGGCCCCGGATAGAAGCGCAGGCCCATGTTAAGCGCATGCGCTTGTATCTGGAGCAATGCGCTTATGGCCGATCCTCAATTATAAGCGCACCCCTTTGGAATTCTTGACTTATTATAAGCGCACTCGTTTAGTTAAAAAAAAAAAAAGAATTTCATTTTTTTTAACCTACCTAGCCTACATGTTCTAAACTTTCCATTAAGAATGACTATCACATACAAGGGTGGTCTCTGCTGTCCTGCACTACACCTTTCAACCTGCCTAGTCTACCCTACTGCCTTTTCTTCCTCCTCGTCCGACTCAGGCTCCGTGGAGTTGTTGCCCCAGAACCCATCTGCCTGGATGTCGTCGTCCACCTCCACCTCATGGGACAACTGGCACCTTCGGTGCGCTAGCACCAGTTTGTCTTCGCTCCCATCAAGGGCGTTGCTGATGCCGCAAGTGAGGAAGGCTTTCTTGATGAGGTCGGCGGGCACCGCCTTCCAGGCCCGTGAAATCCACTTGAGCACCACCTCCGGAGGTGGTTTCTTGATGTTCCCTGCATCACACGGAGTGGGGCGGGGAAAACATGAGACAAGTAAACATGCATTCAAGCTCAAGATTTGCAGACGGGAGCACATGCCGTCACTCACCTGCCGGGGTCAGGATGTTCATGCCGTCCTCCTCAAACCAATTTTGGTACTGCTGACGAATGCTTGCTTTGAAGCTTTTGTTGATCGACACATCGAGGGGCTGCAGGTCTGCCGTGCAACCCGCCGGAATGATAGCAGGCACGATGTTGAGCGCCGCGAATCTCGCCTTGACTTCTGGTGTCAGGTGACCGCGATACGAGTCGAGCACCAGCATGGCGCTACGACTCTGCAGGCCGAATTTCGGCTTCAGGAACGGCACCACGCCCGTGTTGAGCCACTCGATGACGCCTGCGGCCTCCATCCACCCGTTGGCTTGGCAGCCGACCACAACATCTGCACGCAACGAAAAAGAACAGTTAACGACTCAGGTAGTAACGGGAATAAACACGGTGGACGATCACTTACCGTTCGGGAAGTCACCCTTGGGGAGTGTCTTGCGCTTGAAAAACACCCACGGCTTCAGCTTCTCGCCCGTCGCCGTGCACGCAAGCATGACGGTCACTCTCTCCTTCTGGTACCCACCGCTGCGAATGGGCACCGACCTCACGCCCGTCTGCTCCACGGTGGTCGTCGCCGGCATCTCTAACCACAGCGGTGTCTGGTCGGCGTTGATGATGTAGCGGTTGTCAATGTCGTATTCGTGACGGGCGTCACGTACGTACTGCCAAAAATCATTGCACTGCTCAGCCACGTCTGCAGAACAGGGAGAAAGGTACATACAGTAAACCAAATTAGTATGACGCATAGGAGACATGCGAAAAAAACTAAGCGCAATCGGGTACCCACCAAAATCAGCAGTAAACGACCCACTTACGCTCCTGTGTTTTCTGTGCCACCTTTGTTTTCATGCGCACGCTGAGGTTCCACCGCCTGCGGAACCGCTCCGTCCACCGCTGACTGGCTTTCCACTTCACGTCCGGGTATAGAACCTTCATCACTTCTTTGGACCACTCTTGCAGCCGGCCGACCGAAACCGCAACTCCGCGGCGTCGCCAGTCGAGGAGTTGCGCGTACACCTTTAACTCCATGGGGCGGTACCAAGACGACCTCCCGCGCCCGTGAAGTCGCATCCGTGCTCCGTGTGCAGCCTTGAGCGCATCCGCTTGGGCTTTCCATTCTGTCAGACATTTTCGGTGAATGCCTGACTCCCGCGCCACTTCGCTCACCGAAGCCGCAAGCTCGAGCCGCACGAGCCACCTCAACTTCTCCTGGGCGGTGTAGGACTGCCGCTTATGTTGATTCAGCTTGTGCCTGGGGGAGGGGGGGCGGGCATCTCGATTCTCGGTAGACGGGTGGGGGCGTTTTTTATTAAGGGGCGGATATGTCGGTACCGGCATCTTCGCGCGTGGTGCGTCGCGCCACCAGGACTCCACACCGTCCTCGTCCTCGTCACGGTCGGGGAACACGTCTTCCTCGTCGCCCGCTGCACCGTCGCCACCAGCTTCACCGTCGCCTCCAGCTTCGCCGGCGCCGCTGTCATGTTTATCGGTAGCCACATCATCGTCGGCGCCCACAGCCGACTCATCCCACGCGCAGGATTCTGGTTGTCCCCACCGTGGTGCAGTCGCTGGAGCTTGGATGCGTGCATCGCGGGCCTTCGGTGTGTCCGCTTCAGCCAACCATTCGTCGAACGTGGCTGGTAAATACAGTTGGAGCACGGGCCGTTGGTGAGCACCTGCCGTGGCAAAAGCAGGCGGATTCGGAGGAGCGGGAGGTGCGGGAGGAGCGGGTGGAGCAGGGGGTGCAGGGGGAGCAGGAGGAGCAGGGGGTGCAGGGGGATCCGGTGGCACTGGAGGCGCTGGTGGCTCACGGGTATACCACCCGTCTTCGGTAAGTCGCCATGTGCGGCGTGGCTTTTTCTTGAAGAGGATGCTCGTCCCACTAAATTCCGCCATGGCTTCGCCTGCCAGGCGGGGTTGACAAGGAACTGAATGAAAAAATCAGAGAAGAGGGTGAAGAAATGGGCAACGACGGTGACCCCTGCTGTGTGACGGCTCGGGTTCCTCGTCGATGACAGGCAGGAAACCCCCGCCCACTCCCGTAGAGGCGCCTGCGTGGCAGCATCTACGCTGCGCTGGCAGAGAATCTTGCCGAACCTTCGAGATGGTTCTGCCCGAATGCACATGCCTCGCAGCGCATGCGGCTCTGATTGGGCCGCACGACAACATCATCGTCACGGCTGTCACATTCTATGTTTCCAGACAACATTGTGCGGTGGTAAACCGAACCGCTGCGGTTTCTGCCTGAAAACCATGCACGATCCCACTTGGTGCATGGTCGGTTGAATTCGCCTTATTGAGAGCTTCACAATGGTGTGTTCAAAATTGATTTTCATTTTTCCCTTTATACAAGCGCATGCGCTTATAAATCTGACTCAATTATAAGCGCACCCCCCCAAAAAACAATGTTTTATTATAAGCGCAGGTGCGCTTCTATCCGGGGTATTACGGTATTGCAGAACCAATATGCTTGATATGCTGAAGTTGCTGCTGAGCGAGTGCTTGTGGTGTTTAGCTGTGCCAGGCCTACACAGGCCAGCCCTATGGATGATGGAACCTACGGTACCTGGTTTTTGAAAGCCACTTACCACAGACCTGCTGTTGATAAATCAATGGGCACCTTCTACTGCTTTGAGCTGGTATATTTGTGAAGGAAAGTGTAGAACACATGCATGTTGCACGCAAGTGTGCATTTGTTACATGATTTGTTGGACAGAAATACGGTACACTTTACTCCGCACCTACAAGGAAGACCACCGCCTGGAAACGAAAGGCCCAAGCAGCTAATTGGTTGGCTCAGCTTCCAGTAATGTTGGACTACTGCCAGTACACTTCACGTTTCCTTTCTAACTGACATACAGTTATTCATTCCGCATCTACAGGGGGGAGGGCATCGTCAACGAATGGCTCAAGCAGCTGATCAGCTTCTGACGGTGCAGATGATTCCACAGCAACAGCCCAGCCGCGCCTGCTCTTTAAGGTAGGAAACAAAATTGTTGGAATGTCAGTACGCCTTCTATTCCGCATCTACAGGGGAGGAGCATCGTCGACGAATGGCTCAAGCAGCTGATCAGCTTCCGACGGTGCAGATGACTCCACAATAACGGCCGAGTCTGTTGGCTCCACCACCTCCTCGTCCTGGTTGTAGCTCGTAACGGCGTAGAGCGATGAAACGATCTGCAGGAGGGAAGCACAGAATACATCAGATGATTGAAGGTCTGTCAATCATTCCCACAGTCACTGCCGGTCCCCACCACTTCCTCGTCTTGGTTGTAGCTTGTAACGGCGTAGAGTGATGAAACGATCTGCAAGGTCAGACGGGGAAACAAGGGCAGTAAATGGTGAATCGTGATGGATGGTTAGATGATGACTCCACAATCACGGCCGAGTCTGTTGGCTCCCCCGCTTCCTCGTCTTGGTTGTAGCTCGTAACAGCGTAGAGTGATGAAACGATCTGTAGGATCAAATGGGAAACAAGGGCAGTGAGTGAACCATGAGGGCAGGCCAAAGATAATTCCACGCAGTAGCTGCCGAGTCTGATGCTGCTGCCTCCACCACTTCATGATCGTGATTGAAGCTTGGGGCGGCGTTGTGGTAGAAGGGTTTTGCAGGATAGCAAGTCATAAGGGCAGTGAGGTGTGGGCGTGGGCGTGGGTGTGACTGTGTGGGTGTGACTGTGTGGGTGTGGGTGTGGGTGCGGGTGTGGGTGTGGGTGTGGGTGTGCGTGTGCGTGTGCATGTGGGTGTGGGTGTGGGTGTGGGTGTGGGTGTGAGTGGATGAACTAAACAGCGAGGGTATGTGAGGAAAAATGGGGATGAGATGAGAGGGGAAGTGGGGTAGTGGGGTACTCAGCAGGTCCCACTACTATCAGTTAGCGTACACAGGAGGGGGGAGGGGGGGGTTGTGTGATAAGTCAATCTTTTAGTTGACTCAAAAATCGACTTGTCCCACTACTATCAGTTAGTGCGCATATACAGCCCAAAGAGAACTCAAAGAGAGGGTGTCAGGAGCACTCACCGCCAGCACGATGCCGAACACCCACAGGTACTCCGCGACAAACCCCAGCAGGTCCGAATGTAAGCAGGGAGCCTATACAGGGAGCAAACCAGGGGCGCTGGGACCCACAGCAAGGGAGGTAGGTAGGAGAACTCACCACCAGCACGATGCCGAACACCCACAGGTACTCCGCGACAAACCCCAGCAGGTCCCACTAGCTATTGGGGACCCATACAAAAGGGGTCTATACCTGGGGAACGAGCAGGGCATTGGATGGGATGGGACCCACACAATAGGATTCGGTACTCACCGCGAGCACGATGCCAAACACCCGCAGGTACTCCGCCACAAACCCCAGCAGGTCCCACGTTGACTGTAAGCAGAGAGTCTATACAGGGAAGAGGCTGTAACCAGTGCACTGGGACCCAAAGAGAGGTAGTGGAATGGGGCCCACACAATAGGATCAGGAGCACTCACCGCCAGCACGATGCCGAACACCCACAGGTACTCTGCAACAAACCCCAGCAGGTCCCACTGGGAACCTTCCCAGAAGTCGGGGTTGTCCCCAGGCATGGGCGGGCGGTAGTCGCGGCCAGCTAGCGGGTCGTCTGTTCGGAAGACCACTGCGCCTTGAGCCTTCTTCATGCTCGCCCTGCCGCCAGCTGTTGAAGAGAGGGGAGAGGGGGGGGCGGGGGGAAAGCAAGTAGAGTCATGGGCGGGGCGGTAGTCGCGGCCGGCTAGCGGGTCGTCCGTTCGGAAGACAACAGCGCCTTGAGCCTTCTTCATGCTCGCCCTGCCGCCCGCTGGTGAGGGGGGTGCGGGGAGAGAGGGAAAACACACACAGGGGGAGGGAGGGAGGGGCGGTGGAAATTGTGGGCTTGCTGTTGCCTGGTACAGCCAGCTAGCGGGTTGTCCCCGGGCATGGGCGGGCGGTAGTCGCAACCGGCTCGCGGGTCGTCCGTTCGGAACACCACGGCGCCTTGAGCCGTCTTCATGCTCGCCCTGCCGCCCGCTGGCGAGGGTGAAAGGAACTCGCGTAGGGAATGGATACACATGAGTTTGGCGAGGCAGATATACACGTAGGAGGGAAGGGGGCGGCGGTTGAGTGGACTTTTGGCCTGACTCAGAAAGTCACTTCACGTTCAAAAAGACACATGCGACCCACTTCATCCTCGCTTAGCCTTTCTAGGCACCTCAAAGTTTTGAATGTGCCTCTCAAATTTCTTAATATTGCCTCGAAAGTTTGTGCCCGCTCGCCCTGCCCCCGGCTGGTAAAGGTGAGGAGGATCCCCGGGGAGGGGAAGACACGTGAGGGAGGGACGATGGGTGGAAACCGTCGATTTGCTGTCAGAGAGATTTCATTAGCTGATCAATTTGCTTCTCATGCTATTCCGTTCTGAACAGGACGATGCGATCTTTCACCATGCGCATGATGCGATCTTGACGCACGCGCAGATTTTTCTCCCGTAAATCGGGCCCGCGAAGGGAGGAAAAATACGCACACACACGGGACGCGAGGAGGGACGGGAACGACTGCCGCCTTGTTGTCGTCTTGGTGTTCCACACAACCGGCTAGCGGGTCATCAGTTCGTAATCACGACGGGGCCGGTGGCCGTCTTGACGGTCGGCAAGTACATGCAAGGATGGACCGCAAACAGGTGCTGTCCGTTCAGTGAGACCACAGCGCTTGGAGCATCGCTCCTGAAACCACTTAGCTTGTCAAATGTCCATGATCTTTAACCCCTTTTCGCCACTTGGTTACATTCGTTACACTGGTTACGTTGCTTCCACTAGCAGGAGGACTAGTACCTGCAGCGAAGAAAGATCGTCGCTTGCAGTCTGAAAGCGACGAAGGTTTAGAGACTATTCGTGACTATCAGTTGTCGCGATTCGTTAGTGCCAACTGGTCGTGCGACGCGAAGCCACATAACGAGGCGACTCGTACACCTAACCAGCTCTCTGGATTTCGTTTCAGAAGTCGAAATTAGTGATCTGCATGCAAGCATAGACTTGCTAAAAGGAGCACTGAGCGACGCGATTCTTCATTTGTTTGTTCATTTTGACTTTTGAACACCCGCATTGGATGCTCAGGCTGGGAATCGAGGCCGCGAGTCACAAATGTGCTCCGCAAAGACTTATATCCGAGCCGTTGACCCCCAACAGCTATTGATTCTGAATGATGGGGAACTATCCGATCTACATACGGCGATCCACAGAATGCAGACGGGCCGCTACCTGATGAAGACGCGGACTATCACTCACACAAACCGTGACGATATTGCAACGAGGTGACTTTTGGGACGATTGAAACGTCAGAATGCAGATGCGCTGTTCCCTTATGGACACTCCGGCTAGAAATGCCACACGACATTAGCTTCCAACACTTACGGCGGGATTGCGACGCGACCACTCTAGCAGTCGAGCTGACGGCCACATCCGAGCCGTGGACTCGCATCAACGTCGCCCTGTCCGATCTACAGAACGACGACGAGCCGCTGCCTGATAGACAGACGGACGGCACTGAGGCTCTCGATAGGCACACTGCTTGCGAGGCCATGGCGATAAAATTCGGAACCAAAGTCCGAAACTGCAGAACCTAAAAGAGACGAGTGTTTGACGAGTGTTAGGGCTGGACCTCTAGTAAGCACTGGATACTTGAAGCACCGCCGAAGGAAAATGCTGTGAGTGAAGCAGTGATTGAAAGGACGTGCCCCAGATGATGGTTTTTGTTCTGACTCTGTTGTAACCGATCAAAACATTGTTCATAACGCGTTAACATGCGGAAAACCATTGTCAACCGCAATCGTACGTTTAACATGCCTGAAAAGGAAAGCTGACTTTTTGGAAGGAGAGAAGAATGAGGGAACAACGGAGGTGCTACCGGGTAATGCTGACAATGTCGCGAGGTCTACAGGTTCGCATGAAGATTTGCGAAGAACCACGAAACGTGACTGAGCGAAACAAACTCTTCGTCCCTCTTGCCCAGCAAGGGGCAATCACGCCAGCCAATCAGAAGTAGCAGCCACATGGAGGTGTCCAGTCAGCAACTTTGTCCACGTGGGAGCACCATGATGGTCGTGCGCCTTGCCAGTGCTGGTTTTACACTCGATATAGACCACTCGGTATTAAGTGTAGGTGAATTGTGTTTTTCAATAACCACGAATAACCAAATAATGGTAATTATGTTCTTACACTAAATATGCAGACAATATAATTATGTACAAGCATAAAGATAATCAATGCTGGTGAATAGAAAGTGCTTGGCAGATGCGATGCTTGCCTTAGCAAGCAGCCGCATGTTTGCAATTACCGGTACAATAAGTAGCGCAACATGAAATACTTCACAGACAACTTTCCAAATCTAATGTGTCACTCTTCTAGAGCGGGAGGGAGGGGAAACGGCACGAGGAGCGAGGATGGGAGGGAGAGGCGGAGAGGGTTCTCTTGCTATTGATGGGTCCATAGGTGTGAGGGAAGGGCCGGAGGATGATGATGATGATGATGATGAAGCACTTTGAACAGTTGCGAGGAGTGCTGATGGCGTGAACACAGATGACTGGGCAAGCGCTGGGGGGGGGGACAAAGGGAGGGTGGGAAAGTAGGGGTTGTGCGGAGGCAGACAGGGAGAGGGAAGGAAGGGCCCGCAAAAGAAGGTGAGACAATTGGAACAGTCGCAAAGAGAGTTGATGGCGTGAACACAGATGATTGGGCGAGCGCTGGGAGGGGGGCAACGGAAGGAAGGTGGGAAGTAGGGGTTGTGCGGGGGCAGACGGGAAGAGGGAGCGATGTGGAGGGGAAAGGACAAAGAGGAGAGAGTTGGGAGTGAATGTTAGGAGTGAAATGTATGGGAAGGGGCAATTGGAGAACGAAGAAGATTGCTTCAGAAACTGAATGAAAAAGACAGCGAGAGGTTGGGCTGATACTGGCGAAGAAAGAGCAAATCAAATGGCAACCGCAACAAAGCTTTTGGAGGGGAAACTTGAGTTGATGGGCGAAAAAACAATGGCAACATATCCAATGCGAGGGTGCGTGACAGGTGTGGGGCGTGCATGTGAGATGGCGTGCATGTGAGATGGCGTGCATGTGAGATGACATAGATGTGAGATGGCGTGCATGTGAGATGACATAGATGTGAGATGGCGTGCATGTGAGATGGCATAGATGTGAGATGGCGTGTATGTGATGTGAGATGTGCGGCGTTTTGAGGCGTCTCAAAACATCTCTTTTATCACGTGATGTGAGATGGCATACGTGTGATGTGAGATGTGCGGCGTACATGCAAGAGAGGGCAGCAAAGGCAGGCCATGATGGTGCTGTTGTTGTTGCTGCTGCTCTTGCTGGGCGGCATGACCTGTCTTATCTGATTGTTGTTCCCTGCATGTGCTGCGAAAGCGGAGGTCCCTCTTCATTGTCTCGATGCGGGTCTGGTGGGAACAGAGCAAGAGGGCAACGGGGTAATGTATGTAGGGGTATGATGTGGGCGATGCAAGCGATGGGGTAATGTATGTAGGGGTATGATGTGGGCGATGTGAGCGATGGGGTAATTTATGTAGGGGTATGATGTGGGCGATGTGAGCGATGGGGTAATTTATGTAGGGGTATGATGTGGGAAATGGGGCAATGTATGCAACAGAAATCAGAGGTGATATGAAACATGGAGCAGAGCACATGGAAGGTCCCTCCTCATTGTCTCGATGCGGGTCTGGTGGAAACAGAACCGGAGAGCGAACACGAGTATGTGGGGGTATGTGGGGGTATGTATGGGTATGTTGGGGTATGTTGGGGGTATGTATGGGTATGTTGGGGTATGTTGGGGGTATGTATGGGTATTGTTTGGGGGTATGTATGGGTATGTTGGGGTATGTTGGGGGTATGTATGGGTATGTTGGGGTATGTTGGGGGTATGTATGGGTATGTTGGGGTATGTTGGGGGTATGTATGGGTATGTTGGGGTATGTTGGGGGTATGTATGGGTATGTTGGGGTATGTTGGGGGTATGTATGGGTATGTTGGGGTATGTTGGGGGTATGTATGGGTATGTTGGGGTATGTTGGGGGTATGTATGGGTATGTTGGGGTATGTTGGGGGTATGTATGGGTATGTTGGGGTATGTTGGGGGTATGTATGGGTATGTTGGGGTATGTTGGGGGTATGTATGGGTATGTTGGGGTATGTTGGGGGTATGTATGGGTATGTTGGGGTATGTTGGGGGTATGTATGGGTATGTTGGGGTATGTTGGGGGTATGTATGGGTATGTTGGGGTATGTTGGGGGTATGTATGGGTATGTTGGGGTATGTTGGGGGTATGTATGGGTATGTTGGGGTATGTTGGGGGTATGTATGGGTATGTTGGGGTATGTTGGGGGTATGTATGGGTATGTTGGGGTATGTTGGGGGTATGTATGGGTATGTTGGGGTATGTTGGGGGTATGTATGGGTATGTTGGGGTATGTTGGGGGTATGTATGGGTATGTTGGGGTATGTTGGGGGTAGTATGGTATGTTGGGTATGTTGGGGTATGTATGGGTATGTTGGGGTATGTATGGGTATGTTGGGGTATGTTGGGGGTATGTATGGGTATGTTGGGGTATGTTGGGGGTATGTATGGGTATGTTGGGGTATGTTGGGGGTATGTATGGGTATGTTGGGGTATGTTGGGGGTATGTATGGGTATGTTGGGGTATGTTGGGGGTATGTATGAGAATGTTGTGCACTCTCCTCTGCATGGCCGCAGCAAAGCAGGAGGAGGTGAGACACATGACAGGCCAGACAAACGGCAGAGTGAAGCGTACGTGGATGCGTGAGAGCGAGGAGGTGAGCGCGTGCACTCTCCTCTGCATGGCTGCAATGCGAGTGGTGCACGGGGGCATGACAGGCATGGGCAGCCCCTCCAGTATGCCATCCAGCTCTGTAGGATATGCAGGGAAGACAGTGCAATTAGATGGGTGGATGGAAATAAGGGGAAGAAAAGTGGCAATGCGAATGGTGCATGGCGGCATGACCGGCATGGGCAGCCCCTCCAGTATACCGTCCAGCTCTGATGTGGGAAGATCGGGCACATAGGGTAGACAGGGTGCAAGAGAAGCAGGGGTGGGGGATTGCAATGCGAGGGTTGATGGGATGGGACGGAGGAAAGTAATAGTGGCTATGCGATCAAACCCATTTTTGAGGCGCCTCAAAATGCGATCAAACCCATTTTTGAGGCGCCTCAAAATGCGATCAGACCCATTTTTGAGGCGCCTCAAAATGCGATCAAACCCAACATATTGTCGGGGATCGAACCGGCCTCTTCTCAACTGCGCTGTAAAAAGTTGGAGTGGGTTGTTTCAACTCAAGTAGGGATAGATACGTTGGATGGGGTGCAGGCAAGGCAGGAGCGTGGGGAGAGTCAGGGTTGGGGGATAAAAATGCGAGACAGTCAACACTGCAAGGGTGTTTTGAGGCATGGTTTCCAGACTGGCATGGGCAGGCATGCATGCCTTCAGATATGCCTTCAGTACTTTCATTCCTTAAAACACCCTTGTTATTACAAGACAGTCAACCACACACTTACACAACCACATCCACAGTCCTACCCACCAGCTGCCAGTGTCCCTCCCAAGGGCCGTATCCAGCCTCTCCTGGCTGCGGGAATGGTTGCATTAGTGAGCTGCTGTGCAACATTTCTGGTAGCGCGACAACATTCATTTTTCAATGCGTACAGCAACATTGGTCATTGCATTCAGGAAATACGCCCTCAGTGACCGTACACCCATACACATATTCACACACCCTCACCCACCCCCCTCACCCACCCCCCTCACCCACCCACCAGCCGCCATTCTCCCAAGGGCCGCGTCTAGCCTTTCCTGGCTGAGGGAATAAGTTGCACCCTGTGACCCGCATTGGTGACCATACACCCATACGCCCATACACCCCATACACATCCACACACCCACCCACACCCACCCCCCCATACACCCATACACCCATACACATCCACACACCCACCCACACCCGCACACCCATACACACACACCCACCCACCAGCTGCCAGTCTCCCAAGAGCCGCATCCAGCCTCTCCTGGCTGTGGGGATGCTTGCATCAGTGCCCATACACCAACACACCCATACATATCCATGCACCCATCCACCCTGTCGGAGAAACAGCTCTGTTAGTCATCTGCCTGCATTCTGATTCTCTTCTTCTTCTCAGTTCCTTCTGAAAGAGTCGGAACTCCCACCTCAAGGGTCCTCTCTGAGTGGTGTGCAACCTAGCTGTGAGTTAAGGTAACAACTCTCCACTATGCGAAAGGATAACAAACGGAAAGCATCAGGGATGTGTGAGAGAGTGACTTTACCTGGCCTGGGCTCGAACCGTGCATTTCTCAATGTGCGGCTCGAGCCTGGGTTGGTTCAATCACATTGGTCGCGTGGATTTCCCCCTTGGTGCTCTCCTACCAACCTCGTGTCAACTTCCCTGGTCCCCCAACTACCTACCCTCGAATATTCATACTCAACATTGCTACACCAGAACTACACCAGAACTACACCTCAACATAACTGGCACCTTATATGCACAACCGTGCATATTCGGTGACAACCCACCCACCAGCTGCCAGTCTCCCAAGAGCCGCATCCAGCCTCTCCTGGCTGTGGGGATGCTTGCATCAGTGCCTAGTACCCACCTGCACCAGTACCCGCCGCACCAGTACCAACCTAAAACTTCTCCTACCCACACACCCACCAGCCGCCAGCCTCCCAAGGGCCGCGTCTAGCCTCTCCTGGCTGTGCAGGGCGGCTGCCACGTGGCCTCCACACGCCTGCACTGCTGCCCCCACGCCTGCTGCCACGTGGCCTCTACATGCCTGCTCTGCAGCCCCCGCCCCTGCTGCCATTGTTGCTGCCCGATCATCTCCCTGCTGTTTCGTCAGTTGCCCCTGCTGTTCCTGTTGCTCTCTTTCCTCCCTTTGCTCCTGTTGCTGCTGATGATGATGCTCATGCGTCTGCTGTTGCTGTCGCTGCTGGTCGCTATGAGAGGGGATTCCTTCGTCTCCTCCTCGACCCTCTCCCCCCCGCGGCTTCTGTTCTTCCCGTCCTTCCTCGCATTCATTCCCCCCTCCTCGGTTCCCACTTCTCTCAACCTCCCCGTCCCCCCTTCCCTCCTCTCCTCTACCCACCCCTGCTTCGCCTCGTCTACCCTCATCCCCACTAAACGACAGTCCCAGTGAAGTTAAATCACCTGAATCCCCCACCATTGCGACAGATTCTTGCTAACCCTAAATCGGCGACATCGACATGTTTACGCCTTTTGCCAACGTCATTATTGCTGCTCCTTACGATCCAGCTCAGAGGAGAGATGATAAAATACGCTCAAATCAACGCACTAGACTCATAACGAACGAAATGCTTATAGCGAGGGAAGAGAAGGTAAACTAAGCGACGACAACAGCACGTTCACGATGAAGGCACAATTCAAATGGAGATGATCCGACGCGACTCGGGCGACGCAGAAGCGACTCAAAACGAATTACAAGAGTAAGGACGGGAGGCCTTATAACGAGGGTGGGCGAGGGAGCGCTAACGGGAATAAGCCTGGCAATGAGCTCTACTGGTCCGCTCCAACGGTAACATCGCGATTCGCGTCGCGAATTCGTGACAGGTGGAGTTTGGCGCGGAGATTCGAGCCTCTGGTACGGTGCAGTGAGACAATTCGTGGTGAAGTGGGTAATTGCGAGGTTGGACTCTTTGAGGTGAGAGGCGTATTCGGCGAAAGAAATCTCAACTCGCGGATTCTGTTACTCACAATGTTCCGCAACGAGTTTTTCGCATTTTTGTCAACACAAGATTCAGGATTCCGCTTTGAGTTCGTTCTGCGACGAGCTGTGTAACAGCAGATATCTAGAACTCTTTTATGAGGCGAAGTTGAGCGAATCAGTTTACTTCGCACACTTTTCGCCCTAACCCCATTTTCGCGAGCTGGGTGGGGGAACGGCGAACGTTGGAAAATAAATTACGTCTACAATTGGTAACCGGAATTCCGTCAGAGCCAACTATTGTGTGCGGTAATAGTTTCGTTTTCTTCTAAAAAAAATACTCAGAATCCCATCATTCCAGCTCCACCCTTCTCCGTACTATTTGTCATTTCACTGATCCTAATCTTCGGTCCTTACCTTACCACCACTAGGTCTAGCCCTAGGTCAGTCGAAGCTAGCGCAGCTGCTTTATTGCCCTAACATTTTGCTAACCAGCTGCTGACCGTCGGCCGTCTGCTATCGTCCTTAGCCGGCAAGCCGTTACTCGGCTAACACCCGAAAATGTCGAGCGATCCAGGGGATTTAGATCGGTGGAGAGAGGTTGAAGCCGTGCTGCAGGAGTTCCAGCAGCACGGGCAGCAGGTCGGGCAGGAATCCGGGCAGGAACAATCCTGGCAGCAGCACGGGCAGGCATACGGGCAGCAACCATACGGGCAGCAGTTTGCGCAGCACCAGGGGCCGCACCCGCATCCGCAAGCGCAAGCGCCGCAGCAGCAACCGCCGTCGCAGCTGCTGCAGCAGCCGCAGATACAGCAGCATCAGCAGCAATCGCAGCCGCAGCTGCAGCAGTCGCAGCAAGCGAGAGACGCTGCGGGGGAAAGCCGTGGAGGATGGGGGGCGGCGGGGGGCGGGGGAAGGGGGAGAGGCGGAGGACGCGGGGATCGGGGGAGAGGCGGGGGGAAGGAGGGGCGGGGGCGGGGCAGGGGGCAGGGGGAATGGGCGAGGGGCGGGGGACAGGTAGACTGGGGGAGGGGCGAGATGGGTGGTGGCAAGGGGGGTAGTGGCAGTATCGGTGGTGGTGGTGGTGGGGGAAGAGGAAGAGGAGGCGGAGGTGGGGGGAGGGGCATGGGAGGGGAAGGAGGCCGGGGGCGGGAAGAAGGGAGGGGAGTGGGTAACGGAGGACTGGCGGCAGCAGCAGCAGCAGTAGAAGCAGCAGAGGCAGCAGCAGCAGCTCTGGCAGGAACTAAAGCGGGAGGAACAAGGGCGGGAGAGACGAGAGGGGGACAGACAAGAGGGGGGAACATCAGAGGGGGAGAGCTGAGAGGGGAAGAGACGAGAGCGGGAGAGGTGGGAGAACCGAGGAGCACAGGGAGTGACTATAGCGAGTTGCTGACAGTGGCACGGCAGCAGCAGCAGCAGGGGTTGCAAGCAGGGGCGGAGGAGGGAGGGGCGGCAGTGGAGGGAGTGTGGGTACCTGGGGGAGGTGACAACTCGACAGGCGGCAACTCGACGGGTGCTAAAGAAGGTAAGCCAAGTTAATGGGCAAAAAAGGCTGGAGGTGAGAGGGGGAGAGGCAAGGTAGGGGCGGCGGTGGACGGAGTGTGGGAGCCTGGGGGAGGTGGCAGCTCGATGGGTGGTAAAGAAGGTAAGCAGAACCAATAGGCAAAGCGGATGAAAGTAGGTGTGGAGGAGATATGGAGAAAGGAGGGGTAGCATTGGTGGGAACGTGGGGTGGGAGCCTGGGGGAGGTGGCAACTGGGCAGGTACCAGTTCGACAGGTGGAGACGATGGTAAGTCAAGTTGATAGGCGAATCGGAGGGAAGTGAGAGGGAGGGACGAGGGAGGGGCAGCAGTGGGGGGAGTTTGGAAGCCTGGGGGAGGTGGCAACTTGACAGGTGCCAGTTCGACAGGTGGAGACGATGGTAAGTCAAGTTGATAGGCGGATGGGAGGGAAGTGAGAGGGAGGAACAAGGGAGGGGCAGCAGTGGGGGGAGTTTGGAAGCCTGGGCTGGGGGAGGTGGCAACTCGACAGGTGGCAACTCGACAGGTGCGTGCATGCATACCTACGATGGTAAGCCGTGTTGAGGGTGAGAAACGAGGGAGGGGCAGCAGTGGAGAGGGTGGGGCAGGGACCTGGGGGAGGTGGCAGGATGTGACGTTGATACCCTCGAACCCTCCCTTTTTCCCTGTCCTTTCCCCCATCCCTCCCCACATTCGTTCCCCACTTCCACCTTTCGCCCCGCCCTCTATCTCCCTGGAGGTGATTTGTTTAGTCAACACTAAGAAATTACTCTCTATGCCACCAGCTTCCCCCCTTCTTCCCCTCGGGCTCTCTGGGCTCTCTGCAACTCTTCCACCACCCATCTGAGTATTCACGAGGCTGTTTTTGAGGCGCCTCAAAAGCAGCCTCACGACCCGTCTAAGTCTTCACCAGCCAGACCAGTTTTCCACCTATTTCCGCTCTCCCTCCGCTCCCTCCCTCCCTCCGCTCCGCCTGCACCCTCTTGGTGACTTTTGAGTCGACTCAAAAGTCACCAGACCAGTTTTCCACCTAATTCCGCTCTCCCTCCCTCCGCTCCGCCTGCACCCTCCCACATCCTCTCGCCCCGCCATGCCACGCCACCCCTCCCCGCGCCACCCCACCAGTTTCCTCCTTGGTCCCCTCAGGCTCGCTGCAATTCCTCCAGGACCCCCTCTGGGCCTTCGCCAAGCCTATGACTACTTTTGAGGCGCCTCAAAAGTTTCCCCCTTGGTCCCATCAGGCTCGCTGCAATTCCTCCAGGACCTCCTCTGGGCCTTCGCCAAGCCTATGTTTCTCCCCCTATCCCTTCTTCCTTCCCCCCCACGCCTCCCCCCCTCCCCTTCCCCTCCTCTCGCCCCGCCTCCAGTCCCCCCTTTCTTCCCCTCAGGCTCGCTGCCTTCTGCTCCACCTATTCCCCCGATTCCTCCCCTTTCCCGCCCCTCTCCCCCTCTGCTTTATCAGCACCGCCCAACCAGTCTCCCCTTTCTTCCCCTCAGGCTCGCTGCCTTCTGCTCCACCTATTCCCCCAATTCCTCCCCTTTCCCGCCCCTCTCCCCCTCTGCTTTATCAACACCGCCCAACCAGTCTCCCCTTTCTTCCCCTCAGGCTCGCTGCAAATCCTCCAAGACCTCCCCTGGCCCTTCGCCAAGCTTTTTATCCTCCCACTATCCCTTCTTCCTTTCCCCCCACAACCCCCCCTCAACTCTTCCCCCCTCCCGCTCTCCCCCTCCCACACCAGATTCCCCCTTTTTCCCTTAAGGATCTCTGTACTTCCTCCAAGGCCCCTTTGGCCCTTCGGGCCAAATCTCCTCCTATTCCCTCTCTCCCTCCTATTCCCTCTCTCCCTCCTATTCCCTCTCTCCCTCCTATTCCCTCTCTCCCTCCTATTCCCTCTCTCCCTCCTATTCCCTCTCTCCCTCCTATTCCCTCTCTCCCTCCTATTCCCTCTCTCCCTCCCTACCTCTTGCCCCCCGGGCGCCCTCTCTTTCCGCCACTAGTCTCTCCTTTCGTCCCATCAGGCTCGCTGCCATTCCTTCTAGACCCCCTCTGGGCTTTCACCACCACACAACATTCCTCCTATTCCCTCCCTCTCAAGCCGTCCTTCATTGATAATATGCAGGGTACAGGCAAAGCAGGCAGGAACCAGCAAGTCTAAACACGCAGGCCAGAAACAACAACAACAACACCACATGACAAGCATGCTAGCTGAGTCGACTCAAAAGAGGTGACTTTTGAGTCGACTCAAAAGTCACCTCTAAACACGCAGGCCAGAAACAACAACACCACCACATGACAAGCATGCTAGCTGGCCAGGGCAGCCAACGGGCCTACCAAGTACCTATTGTCCGTCGCAATTTTTTAGGCGCCTCAAAAGACGATTTGTTGAGGCGCCTAAACAATAGTCTCATGCTAGCTGGCCAGGGCAGCCAACAAACAAGCCAACAAACAGGCCTACCTAGTACCTATTGTCCGTTGCAATAGGACAGGTGCATGTGGAGTCCCTATTCAACCCCTCTTACACATCCAGGGCCGGCCCCACCCCAGGTGCAGGTCGTATCTGTTTCCCGAGAATTCTACAAAAACAGACGCATCCAGGGCGGGCCCCAGGTGCAGGTCGTATCTGTTTCTTGAGGACCTGCCAGAGGTCCCATAGGTGGGGTTCCTCCTACCTTTCTGCCACCAGTCTCCCCTTTCTGCCCAGGCCCGCTGCAATTCCTCCAAGAACCAACCCCTCTGGGCCTTCACCAAACCTTTCCCTCCTATTCCATCTATTCCCCCCCACTTTCCCTCCCTCACATTCTACTCTTCCCCCCCCCCGCCACCAGTCTTCCCTTTCTTCCCTTCTGGCTCGCTGCAATTCCTCCAAGTCCCCCTCTCGGCCTTCACCAAGCCATTTCTCCTCCTGTGTCTCCCCCCCCCCCCCCCCCCCCCCACCACCACCCCCACTGTGCCTTCTCTCTCTCCCCCACCAGTCTCCCCA